TGAGTCACCTTGTGCTGACAAGGTGTGAGCTGTATACCTCTTGTCTTCTGCCCTATAGAATCTTGATAATATAGGAGCCTCTTCTGTCTGTGCACCCAGAAGTAGAGTCAACACCCCAGGGGCAGCTCTCCACCAGTGGGGGCTGGGCCAACTGAGTAGATGTTCTTGTCTCTCATACTTCGGGTGGACAACTCTGGGAGACAGTGCACTTTTCAAGGATCCCGGTGAACTCTGGTGAACTGCTGTCCACAGCAACAACATTGATAACACACCCTTACCTTTCCTATCACATTGTCCTCACTCCCTCATGCCTGCTCCTGATTCATCTCAGAAAACATGTGCACGCAAGTCCCTCTCTTGGCTCTGCTTTCTAGGGAACTCAAGCTAACACACCTCCTCGACATACTTCCCTCACAACACATCTGAGCATATATGTCTCTTCTCAACTGGAATTTCTTAGCTGGCTCCAGTTTTCCCTAAAGGAAAAGCCCAAGTCCTTACAAAGGCTAACAAGGTCTGAAAGAATCTGCCCTTACTGCTATTCCCTCTGATACCATGGCCTTCTAAGCTCTGTTAGAGTCACACTGATCTTCAAAGAAATACAGCACACTCCTGCCTCAGGACCTGCGCATGGGCTTTTCCCCTGCCAGGATGTTTCCCGTCCACCAGATGATTCCAAGCATGTGTCTTCACTTCCTTCAAGATTCTTCTACCTTTTTATTTTAGAGGTTTTTGCCATAGGACGCTTGCTGGAGAGAGAGAGACAGTGAGAAGGAAAGTGAGAAATCACCCCCCATGATTTCCACTATAGAACCTACAACAGTGTTTGGCAAATAATATTTATTGGACTGAAGACACCTGCAGGGGTCAAACTACATGGGAATCCTTTGACCCCTGGCCCTGGGTGTGGTGGGGGTGTTGACCCTGAGGTTCTCTGCAGGCTGGCAGCAGGACATCCCTACAAAGGATTCCCTCTCTGCCTTTGCCCTCTGAGGCTATTTCTTGGGGAGGATCTCTTGGGGGCTTAGACTATGATATTTGCCTCGAAATGCCTAGGTAAAACCTCAAGGCCCTTAGAGCATTTACAAAACAAATCTCCGCAAACCCATCCAGGCTGATCCTGTGTAATGGGGAATTTGCCCCCTCCTAGTCCCTGAGGTCCTGGTCATTGCCAGTCTGAAGTGACTCTAGTCACATCCTCTGCACTCCCCCACACCCACCCAGTTCCAGGCAAAGGCTCAGGCAGGTGACCTGTACCCAGCCAGATGGTGGAAATCCATGGAGCCCAGGAAAGGGGCCGAGGGTGATCTGGAGGGTGCCTGCAGGGCCGGCATTCTGTATCCAAGCTTTTAACTCCTAAGCTCGGTGGACAGTCACCCAGCCCCCACCCAGGCCCTGCCACGAGACCCAGCCACCCATCCCTGGGGTCAGGGGTTAGGCCAAGCTTGTTCTCTCCTCCAGAGGGAGGCAGCAGCTTTGCTTGACCCTTTTGCCTTTGCAGGGACAAGATCCCCATGCAGGGCAAGCCGCAGCCCCTGTGAGCACTCAGACAGCCCGCAGCGGGGCGGGAAAGACGTTCCCTCCCTGCTGGGGTGCGGGAGTCCGGCCCCGCCCCCTCCCCCAGGGCCCTTGGGCTCTGCAGGCAGCCAGAAGTGGGAGCGCAGCCGGTACCGAAGAGGTTAACGTGCATCTGCCTCCGAATGTTGATGTGTCTAGGTGATGTCAGTGGGCGCAGGGAAGGAGGAGTGGGGAAAGCAGTTGAGCTCCAAGGCGGCAGAGGCTGCCTGGCTGCCGAGAAGACCCCCTTCCGGACTGCGGGGCACGCGCTCCGGGACAGCGGGGCGGGCGGGCGCCAGAGGCTGGCGCGGGCCGCCGGGGGGGGGCG